CCCCAATCCCCCCTGCTCTGCCCCATTGCCCCACCCCTCCCCCAGAACCAGGCACCCCCAGCCCTCCTGCTCCAGAACCAGGGACATAACCTAGCAGAGTGGAGGGTAACATGGTGACTCCATGGGAGAAGCCATTCCCCCCACAATTGGATCTGCCCTGGATCTCACTGGAGCTGAGGCCACACTTTTCCTGCCAGGTGCTGTTTTTTAATACTCACTAAGAAAAAAAAAGCATCATATATTCTGGCTCAAGCTTGAAAAAAATTCTCCTTTGGATTGACATAAAACAAAATATATTTGAGACAATTATTAGCAAAAGAAAACTGAGAATTATAATGGCATATATAAAGTTTATGGATTACCAATATTAATAGCAATGTTAGAACCTGAATCTGATCCAAAAGAAGACAGGGGTTCACCTTCATGGATCACATTACAGGGTCATCATTTACTTTATAACAATAATATATTGTAGATGCCTCATTAACATAATACAACCAAAATACTTACTTGCAATAAGGTTTGCTGTCTTTACATCCGCAAGCAACATCATTTGGGCAGAAGCCTTCTGTATTATCCAAGCAATTATCAAAGTCAGCAATGCCAGCGCAATTGGCTGTAAATTAAAAGACAAAACACAACCAACACTTCAAATGTAAGGTAATGCAGATTAGCATGCTGTATATTTGCATCAGGAATTAAGAATTTAAATGAAATAAGCTTTAATGTAAAAATCTTCCCTCCCAGTGAATAAAAATTACTATTTGACAGTGTGGAATCACTTTGAAGTCTCATTATTTCCTCCTTTGAAACAGGAAGTCTTACCTCCACAAGTTATTTTATTCTGAATCTGTACCCTACCTTCTCATTCATTCTCCACTTGTCAGGAAATCATACCCGTCATAGGTAGGCATTATGATTTAATAGCTGAGAATTGCCATATTTAAATTTATCTCAACATGATGATTTAAACCTTGTTAGACACCAGAAATCATGAGGCCTGCAAAATCTGTCAGAGGATCAGATTTTTCCCTTTATTTCAGAATACTTTTAGCATACTAAATACTAAATTACAATAGCATACTAAATACATCTAAGTATAAAGCCAATGGCAGGAAGTGATGTCACAATGAGACTGGCTACTTCGTGTATGCAAAAGATTGCAGAAGTAATGGTGCCACATGGAGTCAACCCCATTGCCACACTGGTGCCTCCTCTTGGTCATTCTGGAGATTAGCCATAGACTTATCCCCAGGTCCATTGTCTACAGCCTGGCACTTTGTTTCTGTTCCAGCCCATGGCTCCTCTTTTTGAATAGCTTTCTGACTATTTCATCATCCAGGTTTCCTTCAGTATTTGTCCCTTCTGGAGGGGAGAGGAGGTATCTCTATCCAACAGTCTAGCCAATTCCCCCATGGTGAGTGGGGAAGGACCGAGGCCCACCTACTATTCTGGGCTCCAGCCCAGAGACCTGCAAATTGCAGCAGACACGTAGTGAGGGTGTTACTTGCCCAGGGGGCCAAAGGAAAAACTGAGCTTAACTGCACAGCAGGGGCAGCAGTGGCTCCCGAGCCAGGGGCACTAGGCTCCTGGGCAGGCCTTTGAAGTGCCTGCTCCCGCCTCCCAGCCCTGCCTCAGCGGCTTGTCTGCATGGAGCAAGTGTCCCAGCAGCTAAATTGGCGCCTCTCCCTTAGCGTAGCACCCGGGGGCAACTGTCCCTCCTGCCCCCATCTCATTGTACCACTGAATAGCAGCCTCCTGCTGCTGTTCTGTAACATCTGTCAATGCTACTATATTTCCATGGGCAACTTCCCCATTCCCTCAGCACCTTCTTTGCCCTTGCCTCAGAGCACACAGCTGCTCAGTCCCTCTCACACGTTCCTGGTGCCTGCTAGAAGCTGCTCTCTCCATGGTGCTTGGATCCCTCAGCTTCCAGGGACACAGTCCCTATTCCCTGGGATCCCAGCAGCAACTGACTCTATTCTGCAGCACCTTTTTATCTGAGCTTTCCAGACCTGATGCTCAGTTTGGCTGTATTTCATGCAGCATTACTAGGCCACTCGGAAGACTCATCTCCATGGCTACTACTAGGGTAGGGTAGTACTCCACAATCTACAGAGTGCACCAAATTTTGAAATAAATTGGTTTACAGGGATGTCAGAATAGCAAACCTATTATATTTTGAAATAATGGGTATGTTTCAAAGACATGGAATAGCTATTTTGGGATACCAGAAGTATTCTGCAACAGTGTAGCAGTGTGGACATACCTTGTCTTTAAGGTGCCACAGGATGATGTTTTTGCAGACTAACTAAGACTTGTAGTGAAGACAAACTCTGAGATTCTAGACTCCAGGGAGGCAATAAAAACATTTATCTCATTGCTTTAGGAGAATAAAGAGGAAATTAAGATAGAGGGATATAAGATATCATGGGGAGAGGCAAAAAGGGAGGGTCCCTCATCAAAGTACAAGTCTTCCATCAGACCAGAAATTTATTACCAAAGATCTAATTTGGGAGCATTTAAATGACAAGTAGAAGATTTAATCTGTTTCTACAGCAAACTTATATTAGCTGACAGAGCACAAATAGAAGCAACTGCTAGAGAACAACAAAGAACAACAACGAAAGAAAGATTGTGTTTTAGAGATTCCATGAGAACATATTAAGGGAGTTAAACAAAACAAAACAAACCAAACCAAACTGATTTCAATTCCATTAGCATGTAGATAGATGTGGCTGGATTCCCTTTACAATCAAATATATGCTTAAGCAATTTGCTGGATTAGGTATCATAGTATTGAGCATCTTGTAGGACTCGGATCAACATCATTCCCTTAAGTACAAGATCTGTACCTAACTAAAATAGTAACTTCCTTTTGAGAGGCAGGATAATTAAATAGCATGGGTACGCCATTGCTTCCTTTAAGGGTAAAAGAAGCTTAGATCACAGCTGTCTTTACCAGGAAACTAAAAACTGTAGCTGCTTTATACCACTTGCTCTTTAGGAAGCAACTCATTAACATTTTGTACCAATAATGAATGGAAATAATTATTTTAATTAAAAATAATTGCCTGTTAAAGCGTTTCTTTCCAACACTCTACACATTAAAGGAACTCTAAAATGCACACATCACTTAGTTGCTCATTCTTAGTAAACTTTATAAATAAGATTGGTCAAGTTAAAATGATCTGATTCACAGGAAAAACAACAGCTCAATTGTAATGCACCTAACTGTACATTTTGTAAACAAGCAGAGAAACAGCAAGCAAAGTGGAGTAAGGCTATTTCTACATTACAGACCTTACAGTGACACAGATGTACTGCTGCCGCTGTAAGATCTCCTGGGTAGCCACTCTCCCACCAGCTTAATAAAACCAACCCTAACGAGCGGCAGTAGTTATTTCAGTGAGACAGCATCTCCTGCCAACATAGCATTGTTTGTGCCAGTTCTTCTATTGGTGAATTTTTTGTCAGTCGGGTGTGGTTTTTTCACACTCAGGATTGACAAAAGTTTTACCAACAAAAGGGTTATGGTAGGCATATTGTTAGGTAGTCTTATGTCTCACATACCTACTTTTTTAAATAGATTATCATCATCTTGGCATTAAAGAATTAAAAAAGCATAGAATGTCTAATAATAGCATATCCACATTGTTAGTTATTATAAAAGCATCTTTGCTTTTCCCCATTTCAACATCTTTTCTATCTACCACAAGAGAAAAATGTTGACCTTCGGGACAAAGTTTGAATAGGTAAAAAGGACTTTACTTTAAAACATAATTTTTCTGCACTGCAAACAAACCCAAGTATTTCTTACGTTCTGAAGCCTGTTCAGTCAGCAAAACACTCGACAGTAACACAATAAAAGGTAAGTAGATGAACTTGGACATTGTGAAGCCGTCACAGTAAGAGACGATTCAAAATCTTTTCCTAGATTTGTTAAACAGCTGTTAACAGTAACAGTTATTACTTCTGCTTTTGTCATAGCAGATCAAAGATCGTGGATTTTGAACTTGGTTTACAGCATCATACCCTGTAAATTACTAATTAACATGTCTCTAATAACTTACTAGCATTTTCTCTACATAAAAATCATCTATACTAAATATATGTATAAAAATCTCCACTACTAACTTCTTTCTTTCTGAACTCTTGTACTTATATATAAAAAATGGTATTAGTGGCAAAAGGGTAAAAGAGATTCAATATAAACACTTATTTGTTTAGCTTGGTTTTTTTTAATGCAGCCTTTCACAACAATTTAATTTTATGAAATACTGAGGGCTCCCTGTAGTTATGTATGTGAAATTTAATGGTCTGTGATATGCAGGAGGGCAGAGTAGATAATATAATGGTCCCTTCTGGCTTTCAGCACTATGTAATCTATGAAACTGACCCTTATTAATACATGAATATAAAGCATTTCATTAGTAAACATTTTAAAAATGAACAAAAACATGCATAATGACTATAGCAAAAAATCTTCCTTTCTCCTATTTAGCACAATTGCTGTGTAAGGCAAGATCTACATTATAGGGGTTTTTTTCAGAAAAAGTTACGCAAATGGCGCTTTGCAATTTGTATAGCTTTTTCCGATTGCTTTTCTGGAAGAGGCTTTTCCGCCATTTGGTGGAAAAGCCTCCTTTTTTGGAGGAGCCTTTATTCCTCATAGAATGAGGCATACAGGGCTCCCCAAAAGAGCACGTTTGCTCTTCCACAAAAAAAAGCAGAAGAGCAAACATATTCCTTGGATGCGGCAGAGTTTTTCCGGGATACTGGAGGTATTCCAGATAAACCCTGCAGTGTAGACATACTCTACGACAAGATGTTAGACCAGGACTGAATCCTGTTTATTGGAACACAGATTCTACAGCTGCACCGTATCTGTATCACTGTGTATTAACCAAGTCAAATGCAAACAGATGGAACAACAACTGTTTTATTTAACAAAATACTAAACTTAGAAAGCAAGCATAAAATCCTGTTGTCACACAAGATACCTGATGTGTGGACAGAACCCAAAATAGGAATAGTCTAAAAAGTCCAACTGCTGTCTCAATGTCCGGAGAAGAAAGGTAGGTGAATGTCTTCAGGCTGAGGAAAGGGAACAAGCAGAGATGGGACAGAGTTGCAGAGATCCAGGTAGGTGGACAGTCTTTTTGCTTCTGGTCTTCTTTCTTCCTTTCTTCTATACTTGACACGCTGTCCTGCATGTGCTATGCAGACTGGAGGACAAGATAGTACGTATGAATGTGTGTATGACTTGCCCTGCTGCAAACTCCTAACTAAAAACAAATCCAGTGAAACTGGATTTCTGCACCACAAAAGGCTGTTAGCAAACAGGCTAGCTTTCTGCTCCCGATGGCCTACTAAGCCAAACAGCCTGCTAGCTGTCACTCTAGCACCACTGGGTTGTGCCGATGACATACATACAGAGAGCCCTTAGGGGCGGGTGAACACCCCTTGTGAATTCCCTGGTTACTGGGCAGGCTAGAGTCATGTGACCCATTTTCCCCTCCTTTTCTCTTTCCCACCTTTCTTCTCCCCCTTCCCTCCCTCCTTTCTGACAGGAGATGGTGACCAGAAGATTTGCTGCCATCTTAAAAAGGAAATCAACATGGAGGATATACAAAAACAAAAAACAAAAAACACCTAGTGCCCCACCCCCAACATATCCCCTCCTTGGTAACCTGGTACCTTGGTACCATAGTTGCCACATTAATCTTTTCACAGGAGGAGGTGCATATCTGCTAAAATTAACTACACTCCTGATTTTCACCTTTATCCAACTAATTATTAAATCATGGCTATAATGATTACAAACTGAATAATTAAGATAATAACAAGCAGGTATAATAAGATGTATCATGAAATGCTCATCTCTGTAGGGCTGGCAAATAAAGATTCCCACCAATGGGCAAATTTAGAGGATTGGAGCACTCTTTTTAGGATTTTCTCAGTTTCAGTGGTGGAGTGATGCACCTTTGTCATTGTGGCATGTCCATGCTTTACAAGGTCCCGAATATGCCACTTCAATTATAGATGCTTCGCCTTTATTAAGGTTAGATGCCATTACTATATGCAACCAAGAAATATCTCTCATTTGGAATTGGTTATAGCCAACAATCACTGTGTATGCATCAGAAGTACTTGTAATCAGTTCATTATTAATTTCTTTTACCCTATTGTTAATGATCCTCCCATTAATTTGTGCCTATGCTTTATGCTATTCCTGGAAGGTTATGATGTTTAAGCTTATTTCAGAGAAGTTGAATACCAAGGATAGAAGGCTCGCTTATGATTTATATGACCATATAGAACCCATGAATTTGGGACTAACCTGAAGCCAGCCTTGTTACTAACAGCCTTTTGTGGTGCAGAAATCCAGTTTCACAGCTGCAATGACTGCTAGCACAGGGTTTATTTGTTTTTAGTTAGGAATCTGCAGCAGGGCCAGTCATGCGCACATGCATACGTGTCATCTTGTCCTCCGGTCTCCACACCACACTCAGGACAGTGTTTCAAGTATAGAAGAAAGGAAGAAAGAAGACCATCATGCACTTTAGATCCCCCTTAACAATCACTGGACCTATATGGTTAACATATGGCTTTGGAATAACTTGTATCTGGATATGATGTTTGGACCCAAACACTCCTATCAAGGTCCAAACTCCTGAATCAGTACTCGCTATAGAAATATTGAACTGTCCACACAACTTGTTTTGGATATAGATGGTAGATATATAGATGCTGTGGTCCTGGGGCTTCATGGGACCATGACCAACCCTGCATATCCTGTCATGCAACTGTGGTTATATACCTGTGCCCCTCCCACCGGGGCAGTGAGGCCTAATGGCCAAAGTCTCTAGGAAATGTCCCTCTCCCCAAGGCAGTGAGGCCTAGCAGCTGGAGTCTCTAATAAACAAGTGCTGGCCCCCCAGCTTGGGGACTGAGGAGATGGTAGGGGGAGCCGGGCCCTCCCCTGCTCCACTGGATCCCAGCCCAGTGCCTTATTAGCAGTGGCGGGGTCCACTGCTCTCTCAGCAGAGATCCCACCCACAATGTGCTGAGAGCCACAGGCTACAATATCTTGCCCTGGGCTACTTCCCACAAGTCTCTGTTGGCTTCCTTTCAGGGTCTTTCCTCCATATTCTCTGCTGCTGCATTGATGTCTCATTGGCTGGTTTCCAGAGCTGGTCCTCCTGATTGTTTGCCTGAAGGAGCTGCAGCTCCTTCCTCCTCAGCAGCCAGCCCATACTGAGCCTCTCCCCCGGCTTTTATACCTGGGCTGCAGTCTGAGCAGATTCTCCTCATTAGTAGCAGTGGATATCACGATGGCATTGATATAGCTCAATATGTGCTGCTTGCCTTCCATCAAGTTCACAACCTTGAAACTTGCTTATGGAAGATTGAGGGGGCATTGTGCAGTCCCTGGGGCACATGCGTGAAAGTGTATTGCTGTTGCTGATGTGTAAAAGCAAACTTGTGTCGCGATGAGGGGTGCAATGGGATGGAGAAGAATGCATTAGATAAATCTAATACACTGAAACACCTTGTTTTTGCTGCCATTGCTTCATTTAATTTTGCAACTACTGGGGCCATCGGAGGGGTGACTCTCTTCAGTTCCTATATTCGATGGTTAGGTGCCATGTCTTCCCATCAGATTTAAGGACTGGCCAAACTGGGGAGTTACATGTTGCTACTAATACTTCTTGTTGAAGAAATATTGTGCTGGTATCTCCAATGCCTTCTTCATCTGCTGCTGGATATCTATATTGTCTCATAGGCCTGAGATCAGCAGCATCCAGTCTGACATCACAAGCTGTCTTCCCACATTGAAGCTTACTCTTGGCAAAGAGTTCCTGATGAGCCAAAGCCACCTGAGCTGCATCAGCTGGCCATTCTGGGATCTGATGCTTTTTGGGAGCCTTGATGGCTATCCTGTGAAAAGCTGGAATAATTTCACGCTGCTCATTACTGACATCCTGGATCAGCTGTCTGTTAGGCAAATTAACAGTCACCTTTAATCTTGACATTACATCGATTCCAAGGATGCCTTGTCCCTTTAAAGAGCAGAGACTGAAGGATACTTGGTGACTATGTTGTTGATGTAACAAATCACTGGCTCAGTGAAAAGGACTATTGATTCCCTTCCACTGAGCCCTCCCAATACTTGTTGTTTATAATTGGAATGTCTTTTGCTTCAGGATTGCTGTCTGTACAAATCAAAGATACTGTGGCACCAGTGTCAATTAACATTCTTTGACTAAAATGTCCAAACTCTTTCTTTATCAACACAGATATTGAGGGTCCTCTCCAGTCATTATTTTCAATTGGTGCCATAGAAGGGAAGGAAGGGGAGTTTGGCCCCATCATAGCAGGTTTGGAGGTTTGCCTTGAAGTTGCTTAGTTCTCTCATGCTGTGCCAGCTTCTGCAACAAATCTTCTGTAGGGAGGTAATCAATAGCTTCCCTGGTTTCATGTTGCAACATCCTTTTCCAAATTTCATTCCGGAAGGTTTTGTGCTCCTTCTAACCAATACAGCAGTTTCTCCTTCCTAAACTCCACTCTGGCCTCTCATGAGGGCATTGTATTTCAGAATAATATTAACCTATAATATTCTGATTAGGGTTATAAAATTGAATAAGGCCCTCATACATTTGCAGGGGGTTGATGGCATCTTCCACTTGCAAGTGCATGGGCAAAGCACTAAATTTCTCACTGGCCATACACTCCCGTATTAGGGCAGAAATGTCCTTTGTTCCCACCAATGGCAGGGCACGTGCGTTGGATGACCAATCCAAAGCTATCTCCCTATTCAGTGGACCAAGGGTCTTGCCCGCTGCTCGAGCTTGTTCAGGTGCATAGGACTTAAACTCTTGACGAGCTTCTGATGGTCTTGTAGACCCTGGGCCATAATTCAGCATTGTGGTGGTAGTTATAGGTGCCATAGGTAA